TAATAAAAAAAACAGGCTAAAGCCTAATTTATCAACTTCTTTTAAATTTGGTATCCGTATTTTAAAAGTAAAGATTAGGCTATGTTACAAGGCCTAGATCCCAAATCAATGACTTAGGTCCTATAATTTTTTAATGAGTGAACACGTGTATTAATTTAGGCAAATCCATTGTATAAGCATAATAAATATCTTTATCATTAAAAAACAAACACAAAAAAGCTTATATTAGATAAGATGTTTTAGGATAATTTTTATTATTTTAATATAATCATTCCCTTAACTAAAATCTTTAAAAAACTAGTTAGGATCCTTACTAAAAAATTAGATAGCGATTTATTTTATTTTATTTTAAACTTTTTACATATAGGTCACCGAAATGTTTCTCACGATACAGAAAAATAATTGACATAAGTATGTGGTGAGCACAAACTTTATTATGACATTAAACAAACCCATCTTTTCCTTATGTCTCAAGTTCTCAACCCCATGCTTAACATAAAAAGGCTTGTAAAGAAATGACACAATGTCATAAAATTGTGTTTCCTGTTAACTTGTTTCTTTATGTTGTTTGGTATAGTAAAGGCAATGATATTTATTTTATGGCTTGTTTATATAAACTCAAGACATTCATTTTTAAACTTAAATTTGCTAAACACTCTCATTTTTTGTTTAATCAATCTTTAATAGTTCCATGTTTGGTTATGTGCTCAAATAATATCTGCAAATAATTAATGGGAATTTAAAAAAATTAAGCATTACTAGTTATTCCTAGAGAACAACCAAAAATTCCAAAATATTCCTTTTTTATTACTCATTAGGACAAAGAAAATAATAGAAAGGCTCCTGATTTGAACCATATTGTAATAACTCCTATATAACAAGAGGCTGCAGACTTTAAAGCCTTTCAATTGTTTAACTCTAGTATTAAACCACGACAATCTTCACCCCTACTTGCTTGGTGCACAAATAAAGATGACATCCTACAAATTAAAAAAATCTCCAATGATAAAATGTCTAACATTAGTAGGTGATTTGAGGCCTAATTAAGCTAATATTTGAACAATTTTTACGGAGATGGTGGTTGTCGCTACACGACATCAGGCGATGACTCCATTTTTTGTTTATTTAACAAAAAGATTTTTCTCGATTGGAGAAAATAAAGAATTTATTAGAGTCGTCATCTAGTAATTTGAGGGAACTAGGAATCTCAAATTAGACACTGGTCTCAGAGATTCAGGTACTGGATTAGTTATAAGTAAGGAAAGGTAGTTACTACCCTTAAAACATCCTTTCAAGAGAAATGTTATCCTTACTTGTATGTTTTTTCTATTTGATTCAAATACTATGATATTTTGAGCTTATTTGTAATTTTTTTTTAAAGATGGTTAACGTTGGTCCCTAAAAATAGAAAACACGTTAAAAATAACATTAGTCCCTAAACATAGAAGACTCATCTAAAATATTGACGTTTGACCCTAAAAAAGAGAGTTATGTCTGGATTACCAAAAGAAAAAATAATAGACATAATCCATATTTGGTATTTAAACTTTTGAAATTGGTTTTATTTTTCTGTAAAAAAAAGAGATATGTCGACAAATAATATTTATAGGAGACACATTAAAAAATGACATTAGTCCCTAAAAAATAGAAGACATGTCTAACATATTGACGTTTGTCCCTAAAAAAAATAGTTACACCTAAGTTACCAAAAGAAATAATGGACATAATCCATATTTGATATTTAAATTTTTTACATCGGTCCTTTTCTAAAAGAAGAGACGTGTCAACAAACAATATTTATTTATAAAAAAAATTATTTTGATATTGTTGAGAGATGGGTATAACCATACTTGAGAATTGGGCTTTGGACCCACGAATGATAACATGATAAGATAGGTGTGGACCCGCATCGTTATTACTTTTATATTTATTTTTGGTTTTCATGATAAGATGGGTGTGGACCCGCGTCGTTATTACTTTTATATTTATTTTTGGTTTTTTTTTTGTTGACAACATGCAAGAAAATTTACAAATACTTATATATAAAAATATAAAAAATACCATTAGGAATCATAAAAAATTACCTAAGTTCCACCGTATGGATAAAAAAACTAAAATACTCTTAAATTTCTCAAAAACTTATGAAAATGCCTATAGTGGCGCGTGTAGCTCACACATAGTCACTATTGGAGGCGGTGAAATTTTTAGCAAGATTTCCAACCAAAGAATGGTTGATTCTGGTAGATATAAGGGAGAGGATTCTGCTGACTGTGGTTTCAATGGGCTGTTGATGGCTGATGAGGGAGAATCGTCGATTTGAAGCTTCGGGTGGTCGACGAAATCGCAGCCTTTTTTCGGCCAGATGGAAGGAGAAAACGCTGAAAACGGTCGGGGTTTTGCTTTATAGAAGGCTAATAGCCTTTATGTGGTTGTTTGGAGGCTTCAAATGGCTGGAAATGGGAGATCAGATGAGAGAGAAAGAGAGAGAGAATCATCAGTGAGAGGAGAGAGAGAGTCTGAGGTTTTGCTATAGTATAAACGTTAGGATGGTACACCGATGCAGATGAAGGTTGTGCACCATTGGAATCAGATGAACTAATCATTCAGTTGTGATTGACTTGATCTGCAAGTTGATTGGATGGTCTGAATGGGCTAAGTTTCAATCTGGTGTGGCGTGGTGCATCGAGAGCTTAGTACACCTGATGATGTGGAACAACGGGATCAAAGGGCAGATTGTTTTAAGGATTGAGATGGATTTGGGTTTTAATCCAGTGTGGTAAGCCTATTGTATCCTATTAAATCAAAGACCCTAAACTAAACACTATTAGATTTAACGGTTATGATATTTTTAGTATTTTTCAAATAGTTTTTTTAAAATCAATACCTTACTCGCACAAAGAAAAGGCAAAAAAAACCTGAATAGTAACCAAAACCTATACTCTTTTTTTCTCTTCCTCCTTCTAGTGCATTTTCACTGGCTATTTATACCTAATGATGAGGGGACATGAAAATCTCACGACGGTGGCACGATCTATTTTAAAGAAAAAATTCATTATTACAATTACCCCCTACTATCGGCATAATTGCTCCGCCTAATATCACAAAAATTTTGTATTATTGATTTTTTTATTATATATAATAATAAATATTTACAAGGGTAAAACTAAAAACTCAAATCAGTATTAGAAAAAGCTCGTTTCAACTACTAAATATTAATTTTAATTACCAAAAATTATGTTGAAACACTAAAAAAAAACTTTCGATCTGGTGGATCGGGTTTTGACCCAAAATGGATTAAAACTCTTTTTTTTTTAATCCTGGTCAATATAGTTTTTGACCTGTATTGACTCGGTGGATTCGGTTTTGATAAAAAATAATGATTTTGACCCGAAACAGCCTGAAAACTCATTTTTTAGCCTAGTTGACATGGTTTGACTTGTATTAACCAAGTGGAATCGATTTTCATGGAAAGATATGGTTGACCCGAAAAAACTATATTTTTAAATTTTAAACTTTTTCTTAATGTTTTTGGATTTTTTATGAATAATAAAATAAAATAATTTTCTAGAAAATTTTGATAAATCCAAAATTGGGTTACAACATAATAAAATAAAATAATTTTCTAGAAAATCTTGATAAATCCAAAATTGGGTTACAACAATGGTAACCAAAGACTTCATGAAAAACAACAAAGAAAGAAGAAGAAAAGAACCACAAATAGGCTACCACATGCCTCTCGGCTGTGCTTTTTATCTAGAGGAATTAAAGATCAATATTAGCAGGTGATTTGAGGTCTAAGTTATAAATTTTGCAGTTTTATTAGAATCTTTTGTTTAGATGTTGTGTTAATCTATTTTATTGCTGTGATATGTGGCTTTTTTTGTGGCAGAATATTGATGAAAATCTTGATTAGTTTATCAGAGGATGGATACTCAAAGAGAGGAATCTTAGGAAAAATGGTCCCTCGTAGATTTTCAAGTCGAAGGAATGGCCTCCCCTAGTGGTTTTGAAGAGTTCTTACACTAGAGACATGAATTTATCAGTAAAGTGCCTTTCCTTTGTTTTTGTTTTAACTACAGTAATCGACGAGCCCTCATTTTACACACTATCCTTCGCCAAACCAGTCCAAACCCATTATGACCATAAGACTTAAAGCCGAAACCCTAGAAACAAAACAGAAGCACTCAATGTGAAACCCTAATTTCAAAATAAAGAAACAAAGAGGCCCAGTATTAGTTTAGTTTCCTGAGCATTTTGCATTAAACTGAAACAAAATCGCGGAATAGTAATTTTCAAATCGCGGAATAATAATTTCCAAATTTTATTTGAATTAAATATCATAGAAAAAATAAGAAAACCATGAAATTACTTGATAAGTTCACTGTTGACAGAATCAAAATAACACTTCATCCACTGCATAAACTCCAAGTTATTGATCGGCCTGCCATTCACCAGCTTAGTAACCTCTACATCCTAGCTAAAAATAATTCATAAATAAATCAAATCAACGAGACATTAAAGAAATTTGTAAAATCAAATTGCATACACAAACCCTAGAAATTCTGAACTTGTTAAACACGAAGTTCATCACTAACTTCTAATTTCCAAAAAAAATAAAAAAACAAAGAAGATGTAGGAAAAGAGAGACTGTGTTGTTGGTGTTGAAAGGAAAGGTAGGCACGAAGGAAAGAAAAAAAGAATTCCCTCCTAATAATTTCAAATCCTTTTAATTTCGTATTTCTTGAACGTTATTTTATAGAGGTAAATTTATTTTATAATATTTTCTTTTCTTTTTAATATCTGAATTTAAAAAAAATGAAAAATCTTTTTTCTCAAGCTATTTTCTCTTTAAAACATGAAAAATAGATCAAATAAAGGACAATGAAATTAATATCTACAAAAAATTAACCTGCCAAGAAATTAATTCTCTATATTTGCGTTGTTCTTGGGAAAATGTTTAGAAGCCATTGTTGAAGGCCGAGAAAGGTCCCTGGTCCAAGATGAAAGACCTTTCAGGCTACAACAACAGAACAGAGCTATATTCATGTTCCATGTGGCAGGACAGGTGTAAGTGCTTAGCAGATGTGGAATGGACAGCAGGGATTGTAGTCGTTGTAGAGGTGTCTAAAAATCTATCACTCTAGAAGGTGTCCTATGGAGTAGATAAATTACAGATTTCATAGCTTCTCCCCAATAGAACCGGGGCACGTGCATGCCAAAGAGGGAAGCACGAACCACCTCTAGTATTTGTCTATTCTTTCTTTTCGCTAATCCATTATGTTGTAGAGTATAAGTACAAGAAGTTTGATGGCAAATGCCATAGTAGTGTAGATACTTTTAAACAGAGGTATCTAGAAATTCCATGATATTATCAGTTTGCCAAGTACGAACCTGTTTCTGATACTGAGTTCCCACCATACTATGAAATTCCTGAAAAGTTGTAAAAACATCACTCTTTTCGTGCAGCAAAGATATCCAAGTCATTCTCGTACATTCGTCTATAAACGTGATGAAGTAACTGGCTTTGGAAATGGAAAGAATTTTTGCAGGGCCTCATATATCAGAATGTATAATAGCAAAAGGTTCTGAACTTTTATTCAAACTTGGTAAATATGAAATACGGTGGCTTTTGGCCATTTCACAAATATTGCAATAAAATTCCAAATCATTGACTACTTTAAAAAGATGTGGCCGTAATTTTTTAAGATATCCAAAATAAAGATGTCCAATTGTCAGTGCCATAACCATATAGTTTCGCAATCTGTATCCAAACTCTCAGCCTGATATGCATGACTGAATTTCTGTCCGTTAGTCTATGTTAATTCTAAATAATAGAGTTTGCCTCGTTTAACACCATAACTAAGAATCTCCGGGTCAGAATGTCCTGAAAAACACAAAATAAAAGCCTAAAAGTTACAATACAATTAAGTGCAGAGGTAATTTGGCCGACTGACAAAAGGTTATATTCACCAGAGGGGACAATGAGGACTGAGTTTAAGGAAAAGCATTTTTTTTCCTTAATGAATCTAATTGCTCTTGCGTATTTTTACTAGAGGAACTACAACAAGAGAGACAATCTTTGACAGTCTAGGGTTTGGGTCAATTAAGGACACCATAAGAGGGAAGTTGACAACGGCAGAGGACATTGCTGAAGAAACAAAGGCTGCACGTGAGCGCGGAGGTACCGGACGAAAGTGTTTAAATAAAGATACTGGGAATGAGGAGATGGTGATCCCCATTGAAGAGAATGCCACGGGAGCTGTGGCATCCATCCTAAAAGCGTCCGATCAGATGAGTGGTCAAACTTTCAACGATGTTGGACGAATGGATGATGAGGGAGTCATTCGAGTGGAAATGGAATGCACTCCAAAATTGAGCAAAGATCGCTGAGAGTTGAGGTAGAGATATATATTATGCAGTATAACATCCAATGTCGATGATCTTTCTTTCTCTATTCTTGGATTTGTGTATTTAGTTTTTAGTTACATGACTGATGGGTAATGGATCAGCAGTGGGAACTCGGCTCTAATGTTATCTAATGGAGGAGGCATATGTTTCTCTCTTTTAACCTCTTCACACCCTATTAGAACCCATTTTGAATCACTTGGGAACAAATTCGAAGTAGAACTGAGCTGAATTACACTATTTTAAATCTTTTAATGATGCAAGGTTTATATATATAAATGAAATTCCTCTTACAATATTTACAATATGAATCCTAAGCTCACATGCATTCAGACTTGAAAAAATATTAACTCCTAGCTTTTAACATACATTAAGACTTTATTGATCGCTAGCTGCTCCTTCAAGTCTCCAAGTTGATCAAGTATTCTCCACAAAGGTAAAATAACTATACGTAAATTTTCAAGTTGTTTGATCTCCTGCCCAATCGGCATCTGTATATCCCATAATGCTAGAAACACTGATTTTTGAGAATAATAATCCTTTTTCCTGGAGCACCCTTCAAGTATCTTAAGATGCGGTTCACCACATCCATATGTTCTTCGTTAGGGCATGCATAAATTGACTTAGAACGCTGACAGCATAAGCGATATCTTGTTTTGTATGTGTTAAATAAATTAACCTACCAACTAATCATTGATAGCGACTAATATTTGTTGGAACTTGATGGGGAAGAATTCCGAGCTTGTGATTAGTTTCCATAGATGTTGACGCTGGTTTGCAAGCAAGCATTCTAGTTTCTGTTAATAGATCTATCACATATTTCTGTTGTGACAGTGAAATCCCTTGAGTTGACCTTGCTACTTCAATTCCTAAAAAATACTTAAGTTGTCCAAGGCTCTTTATTTCAAATTCAATAGCTAAATATTCCTATAATAGTTGCATTTCACTAGGATCGTCGCTTACCAATACTATATCATCAACATACACAATTAAAGTTGTTACCTTCCCAACCATCTAGGTGGTGGCCAAGTGGTAAAAACTTGGGATCAAGGGGTTTGCTCCCTCTGTGGTCTCAGGTTCGAGTCCTTGGTTGCTCATATGATGGCCACTGGAGGCTTACATGGTCGTTAACTTCAGGGCCCGTGGGATTAGTCGTGGTGCGCGCAAGCTGGCCCGGACACCCACGTTAATCTAAAAAAAAAAAAGTTGTTACCTTCCCTCCTTTTGTGTTTTATAAACAAAGTATGATCAACACCACTCTACTTATACCTGAATGTCCGCATTGTAGAGGAGAACCTTCCAAACCAGGCTCTAGGAGATTGTTTTAGGTTGTATAATGATTTCTTTAATTTACACACTTTGTCTCGATTTAAAAGACTGCACTTTATGCCTGGTGGTAAATCTATATGCACTTTTTCCTCTAGGTCTCCATTAAGGAACGCATTCTTAACATCAAACTGTTTCAATGGTCACTCCTGATTTTCTGCTAGAGGCAGAAGAATGCATATTATGTCAAGCTTAGCCATTAGTGCAAAAGTCTCTTGGTAATCCAACCCGTATTTCTGTGTATACCTCTTAGCAACCAACCGTGCTTTATATCTGTCAATGCTACCATCTGTTTTGAGTTTCACAGTGAATACCATAGACAACTGATTGTCCTCTTTCCTTTAAGTAATGAGACAAGTTCCCACGTAGAATTCCTTTGCAAAGTTTTCATCTCTTCATTTATAGTCATGGCCCAATTAGGTTCTGTCAAAGCTTCCTACATGCTACTAGGAATGGAGACATTGATAATTGATTCAGATTAAGTGCATATGATTCAGATAACCTATTGGTAGAGACATAATTGTTGATTGGATATTCAACAGTGACGCTAGGATTAGGTTCATATTATTTCTTTGGGATGCCTTTAATTGATCTTTGTGAATATCTTGGAAGTAAACTTTCAAGAGGGATAAGAGTTTTATCAGAAATAACAGTGGACTCATTAGATATGGGATTTAAGAGTACCTGAGGTTCAATATTCTAAGTGGATTTATCAGGTAATGGTGTTAATAGAGGCAACTCAATATTTATCGGTGACCCCTCACGAGTGTGATTTCTTCCAAGCATTTCAGTTACTACTTCTAGTTCTAAAACATCATATGTCCCCCCTGGTAACTCCTCAAGTGTAATATTATTGCTAAACCTCTCAGTTATTTCTTCTAGTTCAAAAAACTCATTATTGCCATCATCATTACCACCTTATGGCAACACATTTCCTTGACTAAAATTCCCCCCCTGAAAAGTAGTGGTTGGAAGTCTTTTATAATAATATGGTTTAGCTTCACGGAAGGATACATCCATGGTTACGTGTAGCTTTTTGTTTTGAGGATCATAACTTCTGTAGCCTTTCCGTAAATCTAAATAGCCAACAAACACACACCGTTTAGCACATGGATCAAGTTTAATAAGCAAAACTTTTGGAATGTGGACATAGGTTGTGCAACCAAAAATTTTAGGTTCAAGATTTGGGAGATGTGGAATGGACAGCAGGGATTGTAGTCGTTGTAGAGGTGTCTAAAAATCTATCACTCTAGAAGGTGTCCTATGGAGTAGATAAATTACAGATTTCATAGCTTCTCCCCAATAGAACCGGGGCACGTGCATGCCAAAGAGGGAAGCACGAACCACCTCTAGTATTTGTCTATTCTTTCTTTTCGCTAATCCATTATGTTGTAGAGTATAAGTACAAGAAGTTTGATGGCAAATGCCATAGTAGTGTAGATACTTTTAAACAGAGGTATCTAGAAATTCCATGATATTATCAGTTTGCCAAGTACGAACCTGTTTCTGATACTGAGTTCCCACCATACTATGAAATTCCTGAAAAGTTGTAAAAACATCACTCTTTTCGTGCAGCAAAGATATCCAAGTCATTCTCGTACATTCGTCTATAAACGTGATGAAGTAACTGGCTTTGGAAATGGAAAGAATTTTTGCAGGGCCTCATATATCAGAATGTATAATAGCAAAAGGTTCTGAACTTTTATTCAAACTTGGTAAATATGAAATACGGTGGCTTTTGGCCATTTCACAAATATTGCAATAAAATTCCAAATCATTGACTACTTTAAAAAGATGTGGCCGTAATTTTTTAAGATATCCAAAATAAAGATGTCCAATTGTCAGTGCCATAACCATATAGTTTCGCAATCTGTATCCAAACTCTCAGCCTGATATGCATGACTGAATTTCTGTCCGTTAGTCTATGTTAATTCTAAATAATAGAGTTTGCCTCGTTTAACACCATAACTAAGAATCTCCGGGTCAGAATGTCCTGAAAAACACAAAATAAAAGCCTAAAAGTTACAATACAATTAAGTGCAGAGGTAATTTGGCCGACTGACAAAAGGTTATATTCACCAGAGGGGACAATGAGGACTGAGTTTAAGGAAAAGCATTTTTTTTCCTTAATGAATCTAATTGCTCTTGCGTATTTTTACTAGAGGAACTACAACAAGAGAGACAATCTTTGACAGTCTAGGGTTTGGGTCAATTAAGGACACCATAAGAGGGAAGTTGACAACGGCAGAGGACATTGCTGAAGAAACAAAGGCTGCACGTGAGCGCGGAGGTACCGGACGAAAGTGTTTAAATAAAGATACTGGGAATGAGGAGATGGTGATCCCCATTGAAGAGAATGCCACGGGAGCTGTGGCATCCATCCTAAAAGCGTCCGATCAGATGAGTGGTCAAACTTTCAACGATGTTGGACGAATGGATGATGAGGGAGTCATTCGAGTGGAAATGGAATGCACTCCAAAATTGAGCAAAGATCGCTGAGAGTTGAGGTAGAGATATATATTATGCAGTATAACATCCAATGTTGATGATCTTTCTTTCTCTGTTCTTGGATTTGTGCATTTAGTTTTTAGTTACATAACTGATGGGCAATGGATCAGATGTGGGAACTCGGCTCTGATGTTATCTAATCGTGGAGGCTTATGTTTTTCTCTTTTAAGCTCTTCACACCCTATTAAACCCATTTTCAATCACTTGTGTTTGGAACAAATTCAAAGTAGAAGTGAGCTGAATTATACTATTTAAAATCTTTTAATAATGAAATGTATATATATCCTCTTACAATATTTACAAGATGAATCCTAAGCTCACATGCATCCAGACTTGAAAAATATTAGCTCTTATAGCTTTTAACATGCATTAAGACTTTATTGATCGCTAGCTGCTCCTTCAAGTCTCCAAGTTGATCAAGTATTCTCATTCAACTCGGTAAATTCTCTTCTTTTGATGACACTTGTATATTGATTTTGAGGTGTAAACAACCTCTCATATGTTGCTTTATTGAAGAAATATTAAATCCATCACATTACAACCGATTAATCAAGAAAAGAGACCATGCAAATCCTAATACATGGAATAATTAACCCAATTCCAATCCAGCTAAGCACCGATCGTGCAGATTACAAGAGATGGTTAGGCAGGGTTTGGTGAACGATGAAAGCATCAAAAGGGAGATAGCGTTGATTTGGTCAAAATTACCACAAAACCTAATAGGAACTATGGGGCACTCTTTCTTTATTTTGGTAAAAATCCAATAATGTTTTTTTTTTTTTTAAGTTATGGAAAGATAACTGTCACTCTGGATGACATGGCCTTAAAAGTAGCCTATAAAGACTTGCTACTAGACATTCTTGAATTTGATGTGTTGATAACAAATAGATTGTATCAATTTGTTGTGTTTAGTGGTGTAATTTATCAAGATAATTTTGGGTTAATTATGATATTTATTCTTCATTTCTTCATTTTAGTTACTTTAATTAGAACTACATCCCTAACAGATGTAGATAGTAGCCTTATAAATCAAACAAAATGCATGAATCCCTACTTGATTTTAACATATTAGAAATAGCATGGATAAACTATTATAAACAAAAACATAAAAAAAATAAAAATAAAACAAAGAAAGATAAAAGTTATAAGTAAAAGAAAAGAAAGGAAAATAATAAATAAAAAGTAAATTACAAATAGAAAGGCAACTAACGGAAATAAATTATTTATTAAAGCTAAATGTGTAGAAAAACAATGATTTCTGCATACTGCAGTTTTTCATGTGTATTGTATTCTTCTACATAAAGGAGAATATTTATATAGGCACAATTACAATTCAAATAGACAACAATCTCCTATATTAATCTACAAGATTGATTTATTTCCTATACATAATTGGATTCCTATTATGAAACAACTACTATATTCCTAATAGACTTCTCATGCCAACACTCCCTCTTAAGTTGGAGCATAAATGTTAAGCATGTCCAACTTGTCAATTATTCCATGAAATGCCTTTCCTGAAATTGCTTTTGTAAGTACATCGCATGAAATGCCTTTCCTGAAATTGCTTTTGCTTTTGTAAGTACATCATTCCTAATAGACTTCTCATGCCAACACTCCCTCTTAAGTTGGAGCATAAATGTTGAGCATGTCCAACTTGTCAATTATTCCATGAAATGCCTTTCCTGAAATTGCTTTTGCTTTTGTAAGTACATCAGCTAATTGATGTTCTGATCGAACAAATGGAAACTTGATGAGGTTCTAATCTAACTTTTCCTTGATGAAGTGACGATCAATTTCAACATGTTTTGTGTGATCATGTTGGACAGGATTTTGTGCAATTGCAATAGTTGCTTTATTATCACAATGTAGACTCATAAGTTGTGTGTATTGTGCCCCTAAATCTATCAGGACACATTTGATCCATAATAATTTGCATACACCATGAGTTATGCCTCGAAATTCAGCTTATGTACTTGATCTTGCAACAACTTTTTACTCTTACTTCGCCAAGTAATGAGGTTACCCTCCACAAAGGTGAAATAACCAGACGTAGATTTTCAAGTTGTTTGATCTCCTACCTAATCAACATCTGTATATCCTATAATGCTAGAAACACCAGTTTTTTGAGAATAATAATTCTTTTCCTGGAGCACCCTTCAAGTATCTTAAGATGCAGTTCACCGCATCCATATGTTCTTCGTTGGGGGCATGTATAAATTGACTTAGAACGCTGACAGCATAAGAGATATCTGGTCTTGTATGTGTTAAATAAATTAACATACCAACTAATCGTTCATAACGGCCAATATCTATTGGAACTTGATGGGGAAGAATTCCAAGCTTGTGATTAGTTTCCATAGGTGTTGACACTGGTTTGCAAGCAAGCATTCCAGTTTCTGTCAATAGATCTATCACATATTTTTGTTGTGACAGCGAAATCCCTTAAGCTGACCTTGCTACTTCAATTTCTAAAAAATACTTAAGTTGTCCAAGGTTCTTCATTTTGAATTCAGCAACTAAATATTCCTGTAACAGCTGCATTTCACTAGGATCGTCGCCTGTCAATACTATATCATCAATATACATAATTAAAGCTGTTACCTTCCCTCCTTTGTATTTTATAAACAGAGTATGATCAGCACCACTTTGCTTATACCTGAATGTCCGCATTGCAAAGGAGAACCTTCCAAACCAGGCTCTAGGAGATTGTTTCAGGCCGTATAATGATTTCTTTAATTTACACACTTTGTCTCGATTTAAAAGACTGCACTTTATGCCTGGTGGTAAATCTATATGCACTTTTTCCTCTAGGTCTCCATTAAGGAACGCATTCTTAACATCAAACTGTTTCAATGGTCACTCCTGATATTCTGCTAGAGGCAGAAGAATGCGTATTGTGTCAAGCTTAACCACTAGTGCAAAAGTCTCTTGGTAATCCACCCCGTATTTCTGTGTATACCTCTTAGTAACCAACCGTGCTTTATATCTGTCAATGCTACCATCTGCTTTGAGTTTCACAGTGAATACCCATCGACAACCAATTGTCCTCTTTCCTTCAAGTAATGAGACAAGTTCTCACGTAGAATTTCTTTGCAAAGCTTTCATCTATTCATTTATAACCATGGCCCAATTAGGTTCTGTCAAAGCTTCCTGCATGTTACTAGGAATGGAGACATTGGATAATTGATTCAGAGTAAGTGCATATGATTTAGATAACCTATGGGTAGAGACATAATTGTTGATTGGATATTTAACAGTGACGCTAGGATCAGGTTCATATTGTTTCTTTGGGATACCTTTATTTGATCTTTGTGAATATCTTAGAGCTAAACTTTCAAGAGGGACAAGATTTTTATCAAAAATAACAGTGGACTCATTAGATATGGGATTTAAGAGTTCCTGAGGTTCAACATTCTGAGTGAATTCATTAGGTAATGGTGTTAATAGAGGCAACTCGATATTTATTGGTGACCCCTCACGAGTGTGACTTCTTCCAAGCATTTCAGTTACTGCTTCTAGTTCTAAAACATTGTTTGTCCCCCCTGGTAACTCCTCAAGTGTACTATTGTTGCTAAGCCTCTCAATTATTTCTTCTAGTTCAAAAAACTCATTATTGCCATCATCATTGCCACCTTCTGGCAACACATTTCCTTGACTAAAATTCTCCCCCTGAAAAGTAGTTGTTGGAAGTCCTTTAGAATAATATGGTTCAGCTTCACGGAAGGATACATCCATGGTTACGTGTAGCTTTTTGGTTTGAGGATCATAACATCTGTAGCCTTTCTGTAAATCTGAATAGCCAATAAACACACACCGTTTGGCACATGGATCAAGTTTAGTTCGCAAAACTTTTGGAATGTGGACATAGGTTATGTAATAAAAAATTCTGGGTTCAAGATTTGGGAGATGTGGAATGGACAATAAGGATTGTAGTTGTTGTAAAGGTGTCTGAAAATCTATCACTCTGGAAGGTGTCCTATTGAGTAGATAAATTGCAAATTTCACAGCTTCTCCCCAATAGAACCGGGGCATGTGCATGCCAAAGAGGGAAGCACGAACCACCTCTAGTATTTGTCTATTCTTTCTTTCCGCTAATCCATTCTGCTATGAAGTATAAGTACAAGAAGTTTGATGGCGAATGCCATAGTGGTGTAGATACTTTTAAACAAAGGTATCTAGAAATTCCATGGCATTATCAGTTTGCCAAGTACGAACCTGTTTCTGATACTAAGTTCCCACTATACTATGAAATTCCTGAAAAGCTATAAAAACATCACTTTTTTTATGCAGTAAAGATATCCAAGTCATTCTTGTACATTCATCTATAAATGTGATGAAGTAACTGGCTTTGGAAATGGAAAGAATTTTTTCAGGGTCCCATATATTAGAATGTATAACAGAAAAAGGTTTTGAACTTTTGTTCAAACTTGGTAAATATGAAATATGGTGGCTTTTGGCCATTTCACAAATATTGCAATAAAATTTTGAATCATTAACTACTTTAAAAAGATGTGGCTGTAATCTTCTAAGATATCCAAAAAAAGATGTCCTAATCGTTAGTGCCATAACCATATAGTTTCATGATTTGTATCCAAACTCTTAACCTGATACGCATGACTGAATTTCTGTCCTTTAGTCTATGTTAATTCCAAATAATAGAGTTTGCCTCATTTAACACCATAACCAAGAATCTTCCGGGTCAGAATGTCCTAAAAAACACAAAATGAAGGCCAAAAAGTTACAATACAATTAAGTGCAGAGGTAATTTGGCCGACTAACAAAAGGTTATATATGCGAAAACTCCCTATAGTTTGTCTTTGTTGAAGTTCTCCTCACATATGCGTAAGAACTTTCCAAGTCCAGCTTTGGATCTTTTCGCAATATTTCTCCACGAACTTGGTCAAAATCAGAATCAAGTCCACTTAGAAATATGTGAACTCGAATTCGAGTTATTGCTTAATGTAGCTGGACTACTCCTTCAACTGTTTTTTCTTGAGACACAGTTTTGTGATCAATTTCTTGAAAGAGAGCAATAAGGTCACTATAATATGCTGACAATGATCTACCATATTGCTTGATAGAGAAGGATTTTTTATTTAATTCAAAAAGACAGGTCTCATCTGATCCATCATTAAAGGTTTTCGATACAGCCTCCCATATTTCCTTGGCTGTGGGGAGACGAATAAACCGTTGCATGAGTAAAGGACTCATTGAATCAATAAGCTAGCTTTTCACTTTTTGATTTTCAGTGATCCATGTTGTAAACGTGGGATCTTCGTGGTTGGGTTTCTTTGTTTCGCCAGTAAGATATCCAGCTTTGGTTTCTTTGTTTCGCCAGTAAGATATCCAACTTTGTTACAAGCACCAATGCGCATCTCCATAAGTTGAGACCATAATGGATAATTAGTTTCATTCAAGATAATACTTGTAAGGAATGCAGAGTTGTCTTGGTGGATGATAATTGGTGTGTTATTTGGTGGAACTAGAATAATACTGGTGGAATTAGCCATGTATTATTTATAAGTATTTAGCTTAATAAATAACAAAGAGAACCATGTGATATAAGATTCGTGGTTTGAGCAACTCTGCAATTCTACAACCTTCATTCTAATACCATGTAGAAAGACAATGGTTTCTACGTATTGCAATTTCTCATGTGTATTGTATTCTTCTTTGCAAAGGAGGAAATATATATAGGCACAATTGCAATTCAAATAGGTAACAATCTCTTTCTAAAAAGCGGAATATATTTTTTTCTATATTAATATACAAGATTGATTTGTTTCCTATACGGAATTGGATTCCTATTATGAAACAACTACTATATCCCTAATAGACTTCTCATGCCAACAAAATGCTATGTGAATTATAATTCACAATCCTATATAAACTACTTATATATATTATAAGAAGTTCATATAATAAATTCTAATACAATCTAATTTAATTATAAGTTTCGTATTCCTTTAAGTAATATAAACTCTAACTAATTTATATTATTTCTCAATTTAATAACTATTTGTAATAAAACTTGATCTTTTGATTAATCATATGAACTCTTTCTCTATAATAAATTGTTATTTACTAATCAATCATGCACGTTTTTGTTCTTTCCTGATTAATCATAACTTTTAACCTTTTAGTCGATTACTTTATAACTTTTCTAATTGATTTGGGCTTTTTCAAAACTAGATTGATTCTACTATTAATTGGTGGTGGATTTTAACTTCATTTTCTCTATTTTTCTTTTACAAATGAACAACTACTATTCTTACCTGATGAACGTATTTATAAGGTGTTGGCCACTTTCCTGTAATTAGATAAATCCTAGGTAAATTTTAATTCATGACCTTATACAAACTGATAAATCCTAGGTAAATTTTAATTCATGACCTTATATAAACTATTTACAACATATAAGAAAATTATATAATGAATTTTAATATATTTGTCTATTTAAAAAGATAATTCTATTATTAGTTGGTGGTTTATGTGTGTGTGTGTGTGTGTGTGAACAATTATTGTTTTTACCTAATTAACTTATTTATATGGTGTTGGCCACTTTGCTGTAGTTAGATAAATCCTAGGTGAATTTTAATTCACAACTCTATACAAACTATTTACAACATATAAGAAGATTACATAATGAATTCTAATATAATTTAAATTTTTAATTATGAATATTCTTTCTAAAAGCGATATAAACCCTTTATTTTTCAATCGTGACTCTTAATCTTGTAGTACATCACTTCCTAATTTTCTTTTCGAAACAAGGTTGATTTTGCTATTAACTAGTAATTAATTTTAACTTTTTTTTTGTTTAGAAGTGAATAAATATTGTTCTTACCTAATAAACCTTTATATATATATATATATATATATATATATATATATATATATATATATATATATAAGCACAAGCTCATCATCATTAAAAGGTAATCAAACATTCTGAAAGAAGATTTGGATGATAATTATTTGATTTTTGGTTCACCTCCTATAGCTAGCATAATACATACATACGTGTGTGTATATTAGAAAGCTTGTGTTTTCATTTGAAATATTTTATCTAACTATCTACACCAGCAAAGTTGATGTTTTTTCAATCCTAAAGTTATATCTTTATTTTTTTACACATTCCAAACCAATGGATTTCTCAAACTAGTTTCTAGAGATTTTTCGGTGTTTTATTTTCATTTTTGTCTTAATTTTTGTAGATTCCACCTCTATAGTACTTATTCAGCAGTGAGTTTCTTTTGGGTCCTCCCATCATTTGTGCCTTAATTTCTTGTCGATTCTATACTTCTACAATACTCCGGCTTTGAATTAATTTTTGGTCATAAATTGGTCATAACTTTTATATGATATAATGACAAGTAATAATTACGTGATTGACTTGAGGCTCAATTTAAGATATTGCAATTATCCTTTTTTATTTAGGAATTATGATTTTATTTGATACATAGCTTTTGTTTAAATAAACAAGTTATTCCAGATGCAGTCTCTTAGGTTAATTTCATGTTCTCCTACTGTCTCTCTCAGACAATAACCCTTTTTCGGTTACAAAGTGGAATGCTATTTGTAGTTCAGTCGAGGAGAGGTCTTTCGGTATGATGATAGTGGGGGCCGGCAATGAGTCCATTCTTCCTGACCAATAAAGACAATTTGGCCGGCGATGAGTCCATTCTTCCCGACCAATAAAGACAATTTCGCATTCAGTGATCATAAAGCTTAGAAAGTTGAATGTGAATCTGTAAACTAACAACGGTCCCGAAATGTATATCACTTTTGTTCTGTTCATATTCCACTTTGACTTGTGTGAATTTCTCTGTTCCCCTGATGGAACATCCTTTGCCTTGGACTTTTTTTTTTTTCTTTTATTAGTCTTCAATACATATTAATAAGACTTGGAATTTTATCGTGAAGATTTCATATTCCATTCTTTAGTGGAAATGTAAAAATTGGAGAGCTTTCCATTGATTACCACTAGACATCAAAAACGATATTATCCACTCACTTGTTATTAGTTTTACTCGAGATCAAGAAAAAAAAATTCATAATAGCTTTATTTCAAGGGATCAAACAAAAAGTATGGATTGTAAGAAAATTCTAGCAAATACTGAGATATTGGATTACGAAACTGAGGGAAAAATATACATTCTTGTTAAGTAAAACAAGTAATGAAGAGAATTGCAAACAAACAATAAATTTACTAAATTAAATAGTAAAAAATATAAAGTATAGAGTTGTAATTAAAATGGAACAAGAAAATAAAAATCGATATAAAATTCTTTGTTAATACTGAATAAAAGGATGTCTTAGGGTTAAACTTAGAAGAGAAGCTTCCAAAAGACTTCAAAGCAAACTATTGCTAAAATCCCCATCACATCCTATGTTTTATTAAGAAAAAATAAATAATCCATGATGTCGATCAAGACACACGTGGTTATCATCATATTCTAACAATTCCTTCGATTGTTATAATAGTAATAATAATAATAATAATACGTGCCCTGCATAACACGCTTATTTTGGATACCAATAACTATAGAGTTCTCGCATCGTGATCGATCCGCTATCTTCCCATGGCCGTATAATTGTTGTCGGAAGTTAAATGAAATTTTGTGCTGTCCTTCACACGTTTTTATAAGATGTACTGAAGATCCCTTGTCGTGAGCTTTGAGAGGGCAAGAGAAAGAAACTGGTTTGAGAGAGAAAGGAGAAGATTTGATGTATTTTTCTCTATTAAATTTTCAGTAGACGTGTGTGTTTGATATACTTATGTGTACATTAAATTCTAACTATGTTGGATCAAATTGCTTCATAGGAGATACATTTATATTAAGTTCATGTTATGCTAAAAAAAACCTCAATCTCAGCCGTGGGGGGGGTCTTCGATATGGTTACTGAAACAAAACATGTTTTAATAGATATATTTATATTTTGTTTTACTTGAACTAACAATATTTTGGATAAAGGAAGCTTCCGCTCGTGGTGAATCCCCGCCCAACTTTTATTTAATTTTTCTCCTGGTGCATCTCCACCAATCCCGCTTAGTGATTGCAAGAGGGAAGTGCATAGATTCATCTCTTCCTAACCTTAATGATTGCAAGAATTAGTGACATGCATGTGATATATAGGTCAAGGAATTTATCGTCGATATGTGATTGGATTTGTCTTACAAAGTGTGGAACCGCTTAAGATGTCATCCCATAATTCAACTAGTAACTTATGGTGATGGAGCCCATGTCCATGTGCTAGCTACATGGTAATGGTAAGCACGTAGAAGACGAGGCCACCCCACTTGGAAAAGAAAAGAAACAGACAAGAAATTTGATTAATGAAGAAGTCGTATGTCAAAACTAGCAACGCCCCGAGGAAAAAGACATGCTTGCAAGTACCTAGGTAGACTAGTGAGCACTCCTCCTCTCGATATATATTGCTCAGTTCCCACCCAAAATTCTGCTCAGCGCAACATGGCTCCGTCACGTCGGAGACTAACAAAGTTTAGTGTTGGTCGATCCATAGCTCGTGTTGGGATCCGTTCTCCCTCCCTTCGGTCCAAACCCACCTCTAGTTCCAGTGAAGGTGATTCAAAAATGGAGTTTTTGGGCAGTGGCAAGGAGAGTTTTTGTGGTGATGGTTTTGGAAATGGCAACAAGGTTATGGTGGTAGTCGATACAAGCCGTGAAGCCATGGGTGCTCTTGAATGGGCGTTGTCTCACACGGTTCAGAACCAAGATACCATTGTTCTTCTTTATGTTTCTAAGCCATCCAAACAAGGTCAGTTTACTCTAGTAATTAATTATATAGCTACTGAATTGATGAGACTAATCAAACAGACTACCGTAGCAATCATACTGATGATTAGGTAATTTATTTTTTAATTCAGGCCCTGAATCTAGTTTGAAGCATAATCTGAGGGCTCATGAGACGCTTCACTCCATGAAAAATATGTGTCAAAGGAGAAGGCCAGGGGTAAGTGACAATGGCATTCAATTAATTTTAAGCTTATGTTCTCAAGTCCACAAAAGACAACATGACATTAAAGTTAATGAAGACCAAGGTTCTAAGGGGCACCATCGTTAGTGCCAACTGCCAACCATAACAACTTTTTTATACCAAGTATTAGAATATTTAGTTAGTGCTAATATGAGACAAGTTATTAAAATTATTGAAAAATGTATATAAAAAAGAGTGTCTTGCTGCCTTAACAACATTAAATAGAAATTCATAAAGTTGCTGATTTCAATTATTTTGTATGTATGCAGGTGCAGGTGCAGGTGGCTATGCATGAGGGTAAAGAAAGGGGTCCAATAATAGTGGAAGAAGCGAAACAACGAAGCGTATCACTGCTTGTGATGGGGCAAAGAAAACGATCGATAATGTGGCGCCTTATTAAGAGATGGGCAGGGAAGGGGAACCGCGGTGGCTCCGGGGCGGTGGGGTATTGCATCCAAAATGCTTCCTGCATGACAATTGCAGTGAGGAGGAAGGGCAAAAAACTTGGAGGTTATTTGATCACCACCAAGCGTCATAAAAACTTTTGGCTTTTGGCTTAGATTTATTTCACTTAAGAGAATCGATTCTGGGAAGCCGGTTCGATGAATTCAGTGGGCATTTATATAGGTTGTGTTGTTTTGCAGCTGCACAGTCTAAAAGTTAAAAAAATAAAACAATAAAAATATTTGTTAAATTGCTGAGAACATCACAATCTTCTTATTCAATATTAAACGTTCAAATATTAGACATTCTTTTAAACAAGTGAATATACAATTTACATTGTTAACAGCACTTTAAAAAAGAAAAAAAAAATTGCAATACAATACATATTTTTTTGCATTGTGTTTTGAAAGTTTTTTTAAAGAAATTTGTAATATTTGTAATTTTTTATTTATTTTAAATTAATATTCTTTTATACTTTCATGTTAAAATTGATGTACTGATATCAAAGTTAATTTTTTAAAAAAATATATATATTATTTAAATATATTTTAAAATAAAAATTATTTTTAAAAATAATTGCTATTATATTTTCTGAGACACTTAACAGATAACGCAGCACATGAACCTATGTTATTTTTCTTTTCTCTCTCTTTTTCTGAATATGTTTTGACCGGTACTATGATTCGTAACAATATTTCTCTTTTGAGCATCCAGAAAGGCTTTTGTAGTAACCTTTGAATGCAAGATTGAAAGCCTATGAATAATCAAACATCTGTTTCAGTAATCAAATAAGAGTGGAGCGTAAATTGCAAATAAGAAAATATGATGTTCAAAGATATCGTAAGCACAGGTGCAAGTTAGCAAACTTCACTGGAAAATTAAATCACAGAAACCTCTTGATATGTATGTTAAGCAATACAAGATATGGTAATAAGAGAAGCTTCAGTGCTAAAATGGACTAAATAAAACAACACGCGCGTAACGAGCAGCTGAAAAAGGAATGATAGGGAAAATCAAACACAGTTTAGATCATAAAGACAAACCATTTGGGAAAACAGACATTCATCTTAGGAAGAACTTAAACTATGCCTGTAACGCTATGGAAAGAAGTAAACCAGAACCTATTTGCTGTAAAACACCTCAATTCATCAATCTTCTGGACGCCATTTTGTCCTTCCAATCAATTACGTGATTTTCTGAGTATAGATTTGTGGAGGTTCTTCTTTGAGGCCAGACAATTCTTTAACAGTTTAGTATATATATATGTATATGGGATGATATATAGGAGGACTGTCTAATAGCAGAACATCTAATACAAAATGCTGTTTAAAGAATGCAGTTCTGATCCATGACCTGCCTGCCTTATTCACACAAGGAATCTCATTCCCACACCGTTGAGGCTCTTCATTTTTTATACACCAGAAAAAAAATATACAGACATGCAGCCATTTTAAAGCATCAAAATATTGGAAAAGCATGAAAAACAAAATGCTGTTGTTTTGATTTATTCGCACTGAAGCGACAAAAATTTAAAGAGAAGTGATGAGTCCTTTCCTCCATTAGCTACTATGCTTATGCTTTGGGTTGGGTTAAATTTTTCTTTACTTAAAAAAAATGTTCAGCATTCTTACAAGAGTATGAAAATTTTGAGATTTCGATCATCAATTCAAATTAATAAGTTCAATAAGCATGGTACTTTAATAATATAGCTGTAAAATAAAAAAGTCAACAACAATGATCAATAAAAAAAGTGTTTTTCAATGTTATGAAAAGAAACCCTATAATATTTTTTTAAAAAATCAATAATCTTATTTGATAACAAAATAAAAATTAAATAAAAATAAAACAATATTATAGAAGAAAAAAAAAGTTGAAACTCAATCACCAACAAAGCAGCCAATAAAAGTTGGCCTAAAAGAAATTTAAAAAAAAAACTAAAAAAAAAACTAACTTAAGTCAACATTTCAAACGCGCGACCAACTTACAAGGGCAAGATAACTCCATACAAAAAAACTTCATAAACAAATAGAGGTCAGCTCCTAGGGAAACAAAATAATTAAAAATAAAATAAAAAAATCAATAAAAAAATTGAAAAAAAAGGTCTACTTAACTCGGGTTAACTTGATCAACTTATGATTGATGATATGAGATTGCGATAACATTGTAGATAGAAAAGCGAAAAAACTCATAAAGTTGAAGGCCCAACAATATAATGTAAAATGATAAAATAAATAAAAAAACTAATAAAAGATCAAAGTTAAATTGGACTAATCTTCAAAATTCATGTCTCGGCTTAATTGAAATAACTTCATAAAAAACAAAGTAGAAAAACTCATGAAGTTGAAGGCCCAACAATATGATATTGAATTATGAAAAAAAAAGAATCTTATAAAAAATAAAAGTTAAATTAAGTTAATATTCGAAACTCGTGTCTTAGCTCTTGAGACTAGATTACCCTTTAGAAGGCAAACCTAAAAAGTTATGATGCAAAATTCTCAACCATCCAGAATTAAATAAATAAATAATAAAATAAGGACCAAATCCAACACAAAAATTAAATTAAATAAAACAATAATGGATTAAATTAAAAAATAAAATAAATCAAGAAAATAGCAATTAAAAGAATAGGGACCAAGTTTGATAGATGAAAATTTTAAATAATGATAAAATTAAAAAAATATTGTAATTCTATAAATTAATTCAAATAAAACAAACATTAATAAGAAGAATAAAGACTAAATTTGAAGAAAAACTAAGTTAAAAGGCATGGAAATCAAGGGGGAGAGAGGGGAAAAAAAGATCATTAATGACAAACCAGTGGTTTGTTGGTCACACATGTCACTCAAGCATAAAAGTGATGCCAGACACTTTCCAATCCTGCCTTGAAATCTGGTGTTTGGCCAATTGGCGAAGCTATACACATTACTTGAAACTCACGAACACACCCCGATGTTGTAGTGGTCTTTTAGTTGGGTATTAGAGCAACATTACCTATTGATAAATCCTTAATTTTAGATTTTTTTCAAATTGATTCAATTCAAAAATAAAATATCATGACATGTGTATCTTATGTATCTAAGGAATAGTCGCTTCAAAGTGAATTCTCCCTAGATTTCATCTTCTTGTATGACAACTATTTTTTAAATAATATTTAAATTTGCTAAATTATCAAATCACCCCTTAGCCCATGTGATAATTATAAAAAAAAACAAAAACAAAAATCATAATAAAAATACATAAAAGATCATAGCAATAAGTTTATGATTTTTTTCTATTAGGGGCGATTTAGATAGTTTACTGTTTAAAAAATGAAAGGCCAAGCGACCCTTAGATGTTAGGCAATTTTTTTCTTTTTAAGGGTAATTTAGTCTTTTTATTATGCTATAAAAAGTAAAATGATTTATTTAATCCTAATCAATTTGACAATACTAAATGAATCTCATGAAAATACCATTTTTTCTTTATTTCGTGCATCATTGGCTTATACTATGGAGGGCAAAAACATCATAACTGATTAGTACTTAAAAGTACATTTTTATCAAGGTTTTATATCATCATTTTGCACTTGAAGTATCAATAACTCCTTAATTAAAGCATGTTTTATAATAATATATCTAATAATATAAGATACCTTTAATTTGTGGTAAATGTTCATTTTAAATGTAGGTCTATCACATAAATGAAAGGATTGATTGATGACTTTAAGAATTTAAATTGCAAGGGCAAAGAAATGATCAAAATTAGAAAAGAGATGTCGATGCAATCCAAACAAGAATACTGATTGGTAATTGGGTCATATCTAAAGCTATAGATCTCAGATTTAGGTCTACTTTATATGGATGGAAAGGTAAGACATAGGCCTACAACTTTCATATGGAGCCCAATATCTAAAAAGACCATTTTCAAGTCCAAATTGTAGCAATAACAAGAAGCCCGAATTATGACCTCCAGCCCGAGCACTGTTCAGTATTTTGGCCATATCTGGAGTTCTAGAAGTCCAAATGAGCTGAAGTTTTTTCACAAGAAAGTTGAGACAATTACCTACGACTTTCATGTTTTTGAGTAGCTCCAAGGTTGACTTTATCAATGACGTTTTGGGCAGACAAGAGAAGATAAGGATTGTAACCAAGTCAAAAGTTGGCCACCCACTTATCAATTAGTCATCAAATCAATAGTTCCCAATTTTGGCCTATAAAAGGAGGCATTTACCATGCATTTAGGCATCTTGGTTTCCAGATCAAGATCATGCTCTTCCTTTCTCTCTTTGTATTTTTTATGCTTTGTTTTCATTAATATTAAGTTTATGCCTTTCATTTCCTTTCCTTTACTTAGTTAACTTTTATGTTCTTATTTTGTTTATCTATTTTGCTTTCTTTCATTATGTCTAGCTAAGTTAATTATGTCAAGGTGAAAAGGTTACACTAATGGTGTAAGAATAAGTATAATGTAAACTTAATATGGACCTTAATGTTTGATACTAACATGTTTTATATTTGTTATCTTGTTCACTCTTTAATACTTTGCTTGTTAAATGACTAATCTTGATTTATGTTGTATAACACTTGGTACAACAAATGCTTGGCACTTTCATAGCCCATAATGTATGGTATAACCGACACCTGAGCTATGAAAGGAACTTGATTTATTGTTAACATAAGTTATAATCATGAATGCTTGACGAGATTTACAAGTATTAGCATTGAAGAAAACATCAATCTTTTAGTCGTGTCAATAACACTATAAAAAAATCACATTGCAATGAATCTTGCTCCTCAATGAATCAATTATGCCTCTCAGTGTTTTCTATAATTTAAAGGTTTAAAAGTAGTCTACACTTAATATCTTAATTGTGTGCTAATTTGAAAGGTAGCAATAATGAAGAATATTAGATAAATTTGTTAGAGCATCCACGCCCTTTCTAGTTGAACCAAATCCTTAGTTATATTAGCTAGTAAGCATGGTTTTCCCTTAGCTTTCATGGGCTTTAAAAGGCTTTCCACTCTAGCTTTGTGAATAGTACTCGCTATATATAGCAAGCATTATTCAACTCATCAAATTGTTAATCATGGTAGTTGAAAAAAAAAATAATAGCACGCGAGAAAATGCTATTTTTTTTTATCTCTGATACTAAAATTGAAGAAGACACTTTTATCTTCTCTCCAAAGAAAAGTATCAAATTTAATGGTAAGCATAAGGTTTGAATATAAGCATAAGAAAGTCAATATAGACTTTGTTTTGTTGGTTTTATTGAATTTGATGTGA